CCCACAAAAGGGCCACATCACCCTGGGCACAGAGAGAACTGCTCCTGTCTGTGCTCCTGCACTCTGAAGATGCCGGTCACATGTGCCGGCGCCAAGTTGGGAAACAAAACTCCCAGAACACGGCCACACAGCCCGGAAGACCCACACCAGCCAAAAGACATGTTATCATTCTGATAAAATACTGAATCTTGTATTTTAGACTCACTCAAATAATGGCACCATCAGCTTTATGGGAATAAAATTGTAATTTGCTTACAATTTAAATGTAGAAAAGGTGGCAGCAATTAAGCTTGGCTTACCCAAAAAAGCACATTTGGGTTAAACTTGATTAATACTTGGATAAGAGACCACCAGAAAATCTAGGAAGAGGAAAACTTGGCTGATAAGTTGAGAAACATCTTAGAAGAAGACAATGGCAAACCAAGAAAACTACAGAATGTGTCCATGTAGTAATTAGATCTGTCTGTCTGTCTGTGTCTGTCTGTCTTTCTCTCTCTCTCTCTTTCCTTCTCTCTCTCTGCCTTTATTATTTTTACAAATAACTCAAGGCAGTGAACATACTTTATTCTCCTTCCTCCTCCTATTTTCCCCACAACAACCCTGCGAGGTGGGTTGGGCTGAGACAGAGAGACTGGCCCAAAGTCACCCAGCTGGCTTTTGTGCCTAAGGCAAGACTAGAACTCACAGTCTCCTGGCTTCTAGCCTGGTGCCTTAGTCATTGCACCAAACTGGCTCTCTACAGACCCAAATCTTCTTTAGAAAAAAATAATGTACTAGGACTGGGCCTGGGGCCCCAGATGTATGATAGAGCCCGTCTCTTGGCTTTGTTGATGGTCATTTTATGATGCTTGGCTGCTGCGTGCTTTTATTTTTATATTATGTATTTTATCTGTTTTATCTATTTTATTGGAAGCCACCTACAGTCATGTATGTGAGATGGGCAGCTATAAAAATAAATAATAGAATCAGCATCTGTAACAATGTATGACTTAAAAAAGATGGAGTGAGCAGTGGAAGCTTGTGTATTTATGCATAACCATGTAGGCTTATATGCTCACACCTAGCCTGGCCACTATCACATCATCTGCTGTTTAGGTGTTTATTTGGGGGATTCTCTGGACTGCTGATCCAGAGAAAGGGATTGGCCATAAATTCACAATAGACAAAAATCACAACTACTCTATGAAATGGTAAAGAAATCATGTATGATGAATAGCTGAAATGATTTTAAAAGGGGCAAATTCCTGAAGACGAGATCAGCAACCATTAGTTCAAAGAAAGACTGGATGGGAGGAAATATACAAGGAAAGATATAGCTACCTTATTGTTATAGCTCTTGTTACAGTCAGAATTATTTTTTTTTAATCACAATCACTGGGATTATTCTTCTAAGTCATCTGTGACTGACTTAGAAAGAATAAATACTGTTGCTCTTTTGAAGGGAGTAGGAAGAGTGAAGAGCAAGTCTTTAAGGAACATGTTTTTACTCTGTCTCTATTTCCTAGTATCTCCTGCGTACATATCTGAGTAAGTGAAATAAATAAAAGATCAAAGGCATTTTTTCTCAAACAATCAAATTAGCTTGGTTCCCCCCATTACATCCTCATAGCTTAAGACAGCTGGCATATGACCTTCCTTATGCTTCCCAGCTGAGATCCTAGTCTACTGTCATAAAATAGTCATTACAGTTAATGCAAAACTATTCAACAAATGTTCAAAAGGTTGCCGACCCAAAATAAAAACAAATCACAAAATGCCTATTATTTGGAGAGAATCCAAATCTATTATATGCTACAGTTTTTGATTTCTCTAAAGACAAATTAATGTTTCAACAGTTTATCCTCCCTACAAATAATTCATTACTTCTCTATTTTTCCCTCCCAAGGTAAAATTGCCAATAATATATGGGTGTTTGTTAGCTTTCTTTCTGTTTCATCAAAAAAAGTCAGGATGCAAAGATGTCATGGCCATGTGAGATGGGTGGTTCTCCTCCTCCTTGGAACTGGTTGAGAATAAAGAACCCAATGATCCCATTCCTGAGAACCAGATCCTAACTCCTAAGATCTTTGTAGATGCACCTTCTGCAGCTCTAAACACCATCCCTGGAACCATACCCTGAATCTGAGATACAACTGCCAAATCAGGAAGAGCACCACCATCTCCCAGTTGAGTGCCATAAAGCAGAGAGACTAAGAAATACCAAATGACTTGAAAGTGATTCTAGGGAATGGGCTGCTCTCTGTCCTGGATGTTGATAGTTTCTTATACTAATTTGTTATAATGGAACATCGGGAAAATATGGAACAAAGTGTTTTCAGGGCACCACTTCACACTTTTGGGAATGTAGAAAGCATGAGAGAGAAACTCTGAACAATTCTGCCTTGATAAGTTGAAGCAGAGGGGGGCTTTAAGAGGCTTTCAAGATTGATGTCAGCCCTTTGAAGGAGACAAGGTCGGAAAACAAAAATTGCTAGTAGTCTTGGAAAATATTATAATACAGTTAAGGTATTGTGACAAAATCTTGTCTGCTACTTCAATTTATACCTAATCAATTAAGGTAGAGTTGTTTTGAAAATCATCTTCACACTTTCTACTTTCCCAGGACTGAGATGTCTTTTTTGTAATGGCTCCACATTCTCCTGACATTGTATCGTACTTGTGCTGGCTTCTTGATTTTGAACTGATTTTACTCTTGCCTTGCTATGTGAAACTTCAGAAAAAAGAGAAGGGTGAGAGAGGGGTTTAGCTGAACTGCATTAGCAAGGACAATTTTGAGAATGCTGTGGAAATGGTTGGAGCAATCAATATTCCAATATTCAAAAG